AAAAAAAAAAAAAAAAAAAAGACCGATGATTGGGGGATGTGGGTGCCCCAGTCCTAACTAAGGCAATCATGATTGCCTCTACGCACTTCCTTGGGTTGAACAGGGGCAAGGTCCCACTAGCAGCATTGAGCTACCTCAACGCCTGAATCTGGACATGTTTGTGGAGACGTGCAGTTCAGGAAACTCGACACCATTTCTGCGCATCTCCGCAAAAGCGTCCAGATTCGGGCGTTGAGGTGGCTCAACGCTGCTAGTGGGACTTGGCCCCAGGGCCGCGTAATCAAAGTAGTAGTCACCAACCTGCAAAACCACCGAACCTAGAAAAAGGGAAAAAAAAAAAGTTCACAAAAAAGGCAGAAAGTCATAGCTCGCCGACAGAGCTTCTCCCCTCCTTAGACTATACACTGTTGTGTCTATTCGCGTTGCTATCAGTGACCCGAATTTCACATATCATCATGACAAAACAAAAAAAAACAAAAAAAATGATGGTCACGAGTCACGACTGTCCCGTCCCCTAGTCAGTCATCATCCTGACTGATGCTATAAACTGAACCCACGGTCTTCCAGACCTCTACGCTCTTCTGCAGCTTGCGACTGTTATCGAAGGCGTACCGCGTCCATTCAGCGACCACCATTCGCATGCCCGGGCAGAGATCCCGATGATTCCAGCAAGGAAGCGGTTTCTGCCGTTGTTCGCCGCCTCCATCTACTGATTTCTTTTCATTGCCCGGTTCCTCCGCCGCCGATCCATTTTTGCTGCCGCCGGAGAAATCATTCCGCTCCCACTGCACGTGAAATGAATGCGGTTGTCGTTGCCCTGCTGGTGGTGTGCGTTCCACAATCGGCCTTAGAGATTGCCGCATATCTTGCGCCGTTTCCGTAATGTTTGTTTGGTCCACGATGACGCAAGAACAGAGAGCACCGAGCTCCGACTTGAAATGGAATTCACAGAAACATGCAATCTGCAACGCATGCAGAGGGCTGACGAAACGGAAGCATATCGTTTTCTGCCCTGTCCACATCAAACGAAAGCCGGACATGTCCGTGGGTGCTGATCCGCTTCGCTCCTTTGTGTTTGCAACCACCTCTCTTCCATGCCCTCCGTCTCTTTCCAGATTTGATGGAGCCAGATACATATGCATCTGCTGTAGTTTCCACCAGCGCAAATCGAACCCGGGTTGTTCGCTCTCTCTCGCGAAACCTTGCTCATTCTCTCTCCCAAGCCCTCCACCGTTCTCTCCCCCAACATCTCCCTCATCCTCTCTCCCGATACCTTGCTCTCGCAGGCGCATTGCACCCCGGCCGCCGTAACGACTTTCACTCGTCGGAGAATCCCCTCTGCTCACTCCAGACAGTCGTTCATCTACAGAGTCCACTACACCCCTAGTTACCCCCTGTCCCTTTCCGGCATGAACCGCATCTCGTGACTCTGCATTGCCACCTCCTCTATCCTCTCGACTCTCCTCCCTGTCACCCTGATAACCTCCATGGATGTCGGTCAGCTGCTGATCTACGTCTATTGGATTCGATTGAACAGATAGACGCTCGATCATCGGCTCAAAACCGTAGTCATCTTGCACCCAATACAACTTACTCGACAGCTCGAAAGGCAAAGGTACATCCGCGCTAAGCAACATATCATATTCATCGGCAACACTCTCTCCATCCTTGCCCCCATGCATCTGCAACACTACATTCTTTGTTAACTCCACAACATCTCCTCCTCCTCCTCCTCCTCCTCCTATGTGTTCCTGCTTCCCTGGCCTTGGGAAAAGGGCACGGGTCAGTTCTTCCCCCCGGTGTCGCACCCCTTCCGATCTCTCTATGCAACTGTTGCGTCCATGCTCGTCCGTCCTCCCAAGGGTCACATTTGCTGCCGCTTGAGCGGCGCAATAAGATACCAAACGAGGCAGGACGGCCGCATCTTCATCAAAAGACTTATCTTTTGAGAACCAGATAGTTATCGTACTCCTCTCGCCTGAGTCTACACGGTCGACTCCATGAACATTCATCTCGTCTGCTGTGTAGATTGCTAGCCTCCCTGCCTTCGGTACGATCGTTTCCGGCTCCCCATCGCGGAAATGGAACAACCCTCCCGTAAAATCTTTGCCGTAATCGCTCAGGTAGCAAACGGCGGAGAAGTCGCGTTGCTTCAGATACGGCCGATTGCTGTCGTGGTGCCAGCCAAGGTTGGCGCCTCGACTCCAACTGATGAGCCCCGTAAACTCGACAAAGAGCTCGAACTCACAGTCAAAATGCGACTCCATTAGCTCGCGAATTCTGTCCCGTATGGGGAGAAGAGGGAGAACAAGTCCGGCACAATTGCTCGCCACAAGATGGTGAATTGTTGTTGACGTCACGCACGGGCGATAGCCAACGACACTGCAGCTGCGATGAATGAACAACAGCTCCCTTCTCTCCCGCTCGGTGAGAACATCATCATAAATGCAGCGCCGCCCTTTTTCCTCATATACAAGCCTCATGATCGATGGTCGCGATTGTGTGATATGGATGGATGGCTGCCAAAGGTTAAGAAACTGTGGCCCTTTGAGCTCGCTCCGTATGTACAATTTTTTTTTTTTTTTTTTTTTTTTTTTCCTTATGAAATCTAATTTCGTGTACGAATGGAAGACCACAACACTATGTCGTTTTCATTTGAAACTATTAATTAAAAAAAAATAAAAAAAATTGTTTAAACTTTTGAAGTTTAAAGCTCCTTTTGTTCTTTCTTTTCTGTTTACGTTTCTTGGACTTCGGTAGCTATTTCTCAAGACCTCCCACCATTCTTTTTTTTTTTCTATATAGAAAATTTGGACCATTTCTCGATTTATGTGTGTCATCCTTGCACAAGGGCCATGCTAATCATCATTCTCTGTATCATTCCATTTCTAATGGATGTTTGGAACAACAAGACCTTTCACCTTTCTTCCAGCATGCTCGTTGCAATCTTCTTTTTCTTTTTTTTTTTTTGTAAAAAAAACATATCTTATCGACAAATTTCTTTCATCAACCCAGTCAGAATTCTCAGGCCCCTCGCCTTCCCCTCCCCCTCTCCCCCCTCCCCCCCCGGCAGCATTAACCCCCCCAATTGGTAGTTTTCTAGAACTGCCACTTCCCGCAACTTTCAACAACCGTTGGCAACGTTCTGCAACTCTACTTACGGAACACTTTCTGCAAACTTTCTGCGAACTTTCTGCAAACTTTCTGCAAACTTTCTGCAAACTTTCTGCAAACTTTCTGCAAACTTTCTGCAACTTTCCTTCCCAAAAACTTTCAGGAAAA